CTTTTTATAGCTACGAAGCCGTTTAAAAAAATAATACAAATACATAAATAATCTGTGTGAAATCAAAATTAAATTCTTATTAATGTAAGAACATTTTTGAAAACAAAAACGCAATAAGCAATTAAAGTATTCAATACATTAGCATCAATTAAAATATTAATTATGGGAAAATAAAATTGTAATGAAGTATTACAATAAAAATAAGTTATGTAAAAGAAAAAAAATTAAAAAAGGCTTATTTCTACCACCAAATATCAAACCACCCTAAAAAGAAACTAACAAATCAAAGTACAAGCAAAAAAATAAATAAAGGATAAAATCGCAGTATTTTTGTCTCTGCTAAAAAAAAATAAAATAAAGTATCCTAAAATATGAAACAAAGCTGCAAAATTACAAAAAAATAAACGGAGAAATTATTAATAAAAAATAAACTAATAAATAAAAAAACAAAATTTCAAAAACTAAGTGATTCTAAGAAAATAATAAAAAAATTTAATCTAATAAAAATACTACCCAAAAGTCTGTATTGAATCGAAGTAAAATCGTACTTCATCAATTCATGAACGTTTGCAAGAACAGAAGAAAATAAACCGGAAAAAATTATAAAAATGCAATAAGTCAAGATTTTCTGTTGCAAAAGAAAAAAAGAAAAGCTAACTAATTATAAATAAGATGGATAAATAGATAAAAAAGAAATAAAAATTATGATGTTAAAACAACGAAATTAATAATAAATTACTAAAAAAAAATTGCTTTAATGATAAATACTAAATCAGCACAAAAAGTAATACTATATAAAAAAAGAAAAATATTACCTGAAGTTATTTTATTACTGTTAAGCCTAAATTTAATAAACTGGATATTTCACAATCTAACTGAAAAAAAAGGGTTAAAAAATAAAGACCGCAAACCTGGAAGCAGAATAATTTTAAGAAACTAACGCTCATACTGTTCAGTTTTCTTTAGTCTAAGTGACCCTCTATTATAAATCACTGTCACTGTACACCAAAATAAAGACCAAATTTCTATAATAATGAGGAGGGGAGAATTTAAGTAACAATAAAGAAGTGTCATATTTAAATATATCGAAAGTACAACACAGAGTTATCGATCGGCGTGGTAATTGTGATAGTGTCAAATCAAAAACCTCGTTTGAAAAATATCGTCAAATAAACGAGTTACTATTAAAGAAAGAAAACTATTTCTTAATCTATCAATTTATTTAGTTCTATTTTAAGTTTATTAATTATTAACCAAAAGTTAAGTTTATTAACCAAATTAAAGTTGCTGCATTAAGATCATTCAGAAAAAAAGAAAAAAATTTGCGAATAAGACACGTATCTTCAAATAAATTTTACTTTTAAATATTTTTGAGGTATAGGCATACAGCTATAAATAAATTTAATACAATTAAATAAAGGAAAGTTTCGCATTTAAATTTACCAATATAATTGCATCACTCGTAATGTATGGACATGTCACAGTGTCGTCGTCATCGATTATCGTAGCACCTGTGATAGTGTCGAAATGAAAACCTAATATTGTTCAGTTAATGAGCAAAAAATTTTAAAAAAATTCTAAGTGAATGAAAAAGTTTCCTATTCAAATGAGTTTATCTAGTATCAATTAGGATGAACAGTCGAACAAAATAATAAGTAAGGAAAGAAAGAAAGAATAATAAAAAAAAGCGATTTATTGAATTAAGTATGCTTCATCTACAAATAAATTGTATGCTTGATTCAACCTTTATGAGGCGCAGTCATACCTTTGCACACACTAGTAATAGTATAAGTAAATAAATTAATGAAAAAATCGACTGCTGAAACAAATTCGATTGAAAACGAGAAAGTTAGTACTAAGCGATATTTTAGAGAGTAAAAAAAAATAAAATAAAGACGTATCTGTTTATACTCCTGGCAGCGTGCCAACAAAGAATGAGAAAGTCTTAAATATATCAAAGAGTTAGAAAGTCTTAAATTTAAGATTTTATATATATATTAAATATGTTTAGTACGGAAAAATATCAAAGATAAATTTAAAAAAAAAAAAAAAACGGAATAAATATTACTGTTTGCGAATATAAATTCTTAAAATAACTTGTAATAAAACATAACTTGAAACTTCTGTACCTTTGAACTCCGGATCGCGGTTAACAAAAAATTCGGCAAACCAGATTTTTTCGGAGCACAAATCATCTCTGTTTTTCTTTTTTTTTTCTCCCCCAAGCGCAGCACATGATAAGCACTTCCCTACCTAAAGATTTCTTTTTTTTTTAAAAAAGAAATGCGGTAACTACGAAGGACAATCGGGTCTTTGCCTGCACAGTAAAGCAGAAAGGCCTTTATTATTAATTATTATTGTAAAAATTGTATTTTGTCATTGTAAAAAAAAAAGTTTATTCTAAATTTAATATTTTTTTGTTTTTTTTTTTGGATAAAAAAGCTTTTTTAGTTCATAGTTAATTGTCCAAGTCCCTCCACTTTTGAAATCGAAAGTACTAATTTCTTTCTTCCTTTAAAAGAATAAAGCTGAGCAGAGGGGGAGTGGAGGGCTCCAAAAGATACATGAGAATGTATCACTTTTTTCAATGACCTAGTTTGACCCCTAAAATTGTCTACAGGCTTTGTGAACAAGACTTCTTCCCTTCTTTCTTTCCAAGAAAACTCTTGACCGGCCTACTGACCGTCACCATTGCCATATGGTTTCTTAAAATAGCAATGCTTCCATTTCTAAGAAAAAGAACTTTTCCTGAAAGGAGGAAATAGGAACCCACACTGCTGCAAGAGGGGTTGCATTCCCTGACAGGCGCGACTTTTTGGAAGATCTCTTATTTAAATTACTAACTTCAAGAGGAAATAGTAAAGAGGGCGGGGGAGGAGGAGCGTTTCTGAATCTCACTTACCCATAGCTATTGAGCTCCAGGGAAGACAAGTTGATTTGCAGAAAAGTATCACTAAGTGGGGGGAGAGAACAAAAAAATTCTTTCTTGCAGGAAGGAAGGTGGGATCTTTTTGGAGGGGGCACACCAGGGTGCATTTTATTATATCAGGGCGGGATAAAAGGAGTAAATGGCAACAGGGAGGAAATTTCTCCTCAAAAGGGCATGCGGGGCGGGGCGCCCCGCAAACCCCGCCTAGAATTAACCCTGAATTTATGTTATTAAAATGCCTTTTTAAATTTCTTGTGTTTTTGTCAGAGAAAATAGTAACTTCGTTAAGTCATGAAAAAGTCTAGGAATTAGTCATGAAAAGTCATGAATTTGATAATCTAAAATGTAGCAGATACCCTGTATAAAAAAAAATGTTTAGCTTTTGTTTAATTGTTTCACATCTACTGTAAATATTATAATTGATTATAGGAAACTGTATCAAATGTCGCCCCCTACAGATGGGGTGATTATTGATCACTGGGGTAGTTCTTGATCAATGTCATTTCTTATAAATAGTATAAAAAATAGCTAATTGTCTTTTCTTAAATAAAAGTTCAAATTTATTAAGAAGAACAACTGTAAAATATATTTTTACTGTAATCACAAAGTTTGTTTTTAATGGTATACAAGACAAATGTGTTCTGATTTGCACCAGTTTTTGTTTGTATTACCTTGCTTCTATCTTAATGTGTCAGTGTTTTCACTACAGCGCGAGAATCTCGCATATTTTTTCTTTTCTTGCATTAAAAAATTATCACCGCGAGAAATTCGCGCATTCTATAAATCAATTTCAAAATTCGCGAATTTCTCGCATTTTGGAAAAGGCTTCGAATTGCGCCCTTTAGAATAAAATCCGTTTCACTTTTATTTCTGGATCTTTCATTATTTTCAACATCTGCCCCGTTATCTAGCTTCCCGAATTACCAGTATTGTTCAGAACCTTTTCAAACAACAAAACACAAGCACGGAACCCCTTTCAGAACACATTTCTCTACAACCAGGTGTTTACCGTAGTTAAGGTTTCTTCATGTAAGACGTTCAAATTTTTTATGTGCTAATGTAGATGTAATGTAAGGTGGACAAATGCCTTGTAAAGGCAAAATCTTCTATGATGATGCACCAAAAATATTCAATGCTTTAAAAAATAGAAGACGTTAAAAATGTATTATTATTAAAGAAATGATTTTTTTTAAAGAGTTTTTTTTTTTAGTTTTTTGAAATCTCACTTAACTTCTTGAAATCTCACCCTGTTTTTGAGAAAGGGTGAGAAATTCTCACCCATTTTTTTCTATGATGAAAACACTGTGTGTGTACATCGTTAGAATAATTTTTAAGTTTATAAATTACCCTAATAAATATTGTGAGAAATTATAAGCCTAAAAAGGATACTAAGCTTCTAGAAAGCAAAATTAGTGAATTTCTTTTAATGATTGAAAAGGAAAATTTCAGTGTGAGAGCTTCTGCCAGAGCTGTTGACATACCTTACTTAACTTTACACTCTCTTCTTTAGTAGTAGTGAAATAGCTTAAAAATAGTTTTAGTTATGGATAAGGCAAAAATTTACATGCTTTAAAAATAGTCAAAAGTTGCATAATTCTTGCAATTTAAAGCAGAAATAGTTTTTTTTTTTTCTAATTTAGAAAAAGTAGTGTTCAGTTTGAAGAGATAGAAAATAACATTTCAGGACAAAAATGACTGTCCTCAGAATAGAAAAATGAGTGAAATGAGTGAGTGAAAAAAATGAGTGAATGAAAATGAGTGAATGAAAAAATGAATTAAACTCCTCACTTTAACGCCACACAACTACCCTTCTAAGCAAATCGACCTTTTTTTGCACTTTACACATCGACAACAGCGCCACCTCACCGCTCTCGTATCCAATTTGCGCATGCCCACCCTTCTGTGNGAAGTGATTTTGTTATTCTGAGATTTGATTTGTTAGTTATTGTTTTAAAGTTTTCCTCAACTTTCTTCGTGTTTTCTTGTATTTATTTATATATATAAGTTCTAATGCACAAGCTATTATTTGTTTTTTATGTGTGAATACTTATTAAAATGTTTTTTTTTTCAGGCTGTGGGAGAATTGTTACTTAATTTAGCTAAACTTGTACCTACAAACAATGACCACATATTATCCAAATTCTGTTGTCTTTTGTGTTATTTTCTTGAAAATTCTACTGTAAGTATAAATTTTCAATGTATCCACGTTTAAATTTTAATATTTTAGTTAGTCATAGTATTTGAATTCTTGGTTACCTATTGAATACAGGACTGCCATATGTTATTTAAATGAAAAATTTTACTACCGTTTTCATCGTTAAAGGATTAAAAAAATGACCACAAAAGCAATTTTTCTCAAGGTAGTCATTGTGTTCTTTTTATAATGCTTTATTTTTAAAAAAAAAATTTTTTTTTTAAACCAATATTTATTTTGCTGTGCCATTACTTTAATGCATATTTTTTTTCTGCTTCTCAGTTTTTCTAATCATATATTTTAATCTATATTTCCATTCCTTTTGTTTGTCTGAATTTGATCAAAAGATTTCATCTTCCAGATTGATTTTGAATAGAAAACTAATAAGTTTCAGTTTCATGACCATGTAATTTTTAATAACAAAGACTGATGGTGCTTATTTTTTTATAATTCTCTTCCTAGAAACCACTTGATTTGCAATAATTTAATCAATTTTGAAAAAAAACAACATTTTTCAAATTTATTTTTTTACATTTTTATGTTTAATTTTACTTAATCACCAGGGTAGGGAGAATAGGAAAACCTGGAAAATACAGGGAATTAAAAATTACCTGAAATAACATGGAATTTGGAGTTTTTCTTAAGAAACTGGGAAAATAAAGGGAATTTTGTTTCTTATTTTCATCTTTTAAAAATTGTAAACAAAGTGAATATTTTAGGATATTTCAAATGTTAAATGAGTTTATTTACTTCAGTAGCATTATTTGTTTTATGAATGTTCAGCTGTTCCTTTTTTCTCTAAGTTTTTTCAGAAATTATAACTAGTACAGTATCCCTAATACAGTTCATACAAGAACACAGTGATTGTGTTTTTCCTCTTAATATCTTGTGTATAATATGCACAGAGAAAACACAGGGAATTTTTTTCTTTCCAAGTCTGAGTAGCAATCCTGATTCATCATCATCGTCATAGTTGGCCGGACAGCCCAACGTGGACCAATGCCTTCCTCTGAAGATTTCTCCATGACGACTTCCAATTTGTCTTTGATCTCCAATTCTTTTCATTAATTGCAAGAAAATCAGACTCCACTGAGCCCATATCAGCTTCGGCCTTCCCGGCTTTCTTGTTCCAGTGGGTCTAAAAAGCGGTATCTTTTTTATATTGTATTGTCATCACTCATTCAAATCACAAGAGGCCACCCAATTCATTCTATTTATTTTTATGTATTTAATAATATGGTAGTGAACCAATTATCCGGAATGATCGGGAGCATTGCTATTCCGGATAACTGATCTTTCCAGTTTTCTGAATTGTTACAAAAAGCCGTTTTTTATATTGTCAAACTCAACTGAAAAAATATATGTATTTAGAATAATTTTAAAAAACTCTTACTTCTTTTGACAGTGTAGATAAATAATGATTATTTCTAAAATGATGGTAAACATCTTTTAAGAAAGAAAAAATTCTGAAATCTTTTGAGGAAATTTTTTTTTTTAAAGTGTATCGAATTTCTTTCCGGTTTTCTGGTATTCTGATTTCTGGATAAGAGGTTCTGTACTGTATCAGGTTGTCTATAAATCTTGTACAGTTCAAAGTTAAATCTCCTTCTCCAGTTATTGTTTTCATTTACACCACCAAGTATACTCAACAAAATCTTTCTCTCAAATATTACAATACAATTTTCTTCCATTTTTGTCATTGTCCAAGCTTCAGAAGGGTGTGTCAAGACTTGCTGGACAAGAGTTTTGTGGATTAAGAACTTTGTTTTTCTAGAAAGAAACCTAGATTTAACAAATCTTCTCAGCCCATAGACAGCCCTATTTGCCAGATAGAGTAGTTTTTTTTTTTATTTCAGGAGTCATTCTGTTATTAATAGTAATAATCCTAAGTAAGTAAAACTCCTTACTGTTTCAAATCTATAAGAATTTATTTCAAGACAGGGGTCTGGAACTCTGTTTCTTGAGAATAACATATATTTTGTTTTCTCTACATTTATGACAGCCCATTTGCCTTGCAGCCACGTCAAGGGCAAGAAATGCCTCTTTCAGGGTAGGAAGGGAATGAGCAACTATATCAACATCATCAGTATATGCAAGTAGTTGTACTGATCTAGTAAAAATGTGACCACTGGTATTGATGTTTGAATCACGAATGGCTCTCTCAAGTGCAATATTAAAAAGAAGACAGGAGAGAGAATCATCCTGTCGAACACCTGTAAATGTGTCACGATCTTCTGACAGAGACCCCAGAAACTTAATCTTACACTTTGTATCTTTCAATGTAAATCTTGTCAATTTAATGGGTTTTGAAGGTATTTTAAAAGTATTCTTTGTTTCAGAAAGATAATTTCTATTGATACAATCAAAAGCAGCCTGAAATCAATAAAAAGATGTGTGTTCAATGTTAAATTCCATTGATTTCTCTAAAATCTGATGGAGACAAAATATCTGATCTTTAGTTGATTTTCCAGCACGGAATCCACATTGATATTTTCCTATTTGTGAGTCAATAAATGATAACAGCCTGAGAAACAAAATTGTAGATAGAATTTTATAAGTTATACAAAGAAGACTAATGCCACGATAGTTGGCACATGTCATAGGATCTCTTTTCTTGTGAATTGGGCACACAATGTTAATATTCCAATTCGTTGGCATAATCTCAGAGTACCAGATGTCAGTAATAAGTTCAAATAAATTCCTCAATAAGGTAGATTCACAATGTTTTAGTAGTTGTGCTGAAATAAGATCATGACCCGAAGTCTTCTTTTTCTTTAAGTTTTTTATTTGCATCCCTGATCTCCTCAGTAGTTGGAGCCTCAACTTCTATGTTATTCATTGCTGGATTCATGTGCAATTATTTCAACATCCTCACAATTTTCATTTAGAAGTTCTTTAAAATGTTCATGCCAACGTTTTAAAATGTCTTTTTTATCACTCCAATCGACTGCGATTAATTTTCTAATAGAATGCTCTGCATTTATTAATGGATTTCAGATGTTCAACACCTTTAAACAATTCTTCATCAAAGACCCTTTTCTTTTGCCTAAAGAGTTTCTTCACCTCTTTTCTGTGTCTATGGTATTCCTCTGCACTATTTTTGTGTGCAGATTCTTGTATTCTTGTGTGTGCTTGCATCTTATGTTTATATGCAGCATTCTTTTTATCATTAGCAATGGCATAATCAATATCATACCAATCCTTAACCTGTTTCTTAGTTACTTTACCAATCACGGTATTGGCAGCGTTACAGATACTGTCTTTTATAAATTTCCATTTATTTTTCACACTACAGTCACAATTCTTTAAATTCAACTGTTCCTTTACTTTTTCGCAATATTCAAGTATTATCCTTTCATTTTTAAGTTTATCAGAGTCATATTCTCTCAAAGTCTATCCCTTTAACATTTTTGCATTTGATAATTTTGATCTGACTGAAGCAATAATCAAGAAGTGATCTGAATCCACATTAGCCCCAGGATAAGTTCTCACGTCCATCAAGTCTGAGTAATGTCTTGCTTCAATTAGTATGTGATTAATTTTATTAGCATAAGTGCCACATGGGGCACGCCAAGTAGCTTTATGAATATTTTTATACGGGAAAAACGTGCATCCTATAATCATATTATGTGAAGTGGCAAAATCAATTAATTTGGAGTCCATTATCATTGGTTGTATCATGTAAGCTAAATTACAAATTTAAATTCCCTTTCTCTACCTACACAGCATTTAGATCTCCCAAAATAATTTTTACATCATATTTTGGATTATTGTAGTGCATTTTGTCTAAATTTTCATGGAAAATTTCCTTTCCTTCCTCTGTTTTATCTTCAGTTGGTGCATAGGAACAGATAATACTGAAAGTAAAGAACTTTCCCTTAATTCTGAGCTTTCACAGTCTCAAAGAGATTGCCCCGAAATCCAAATTCAGGTGTCGTATTCTTTTACTTACGATAAAGCCAGTGCCCTCTGTATGTTTTTTTGGGGGGTGAAAACTGTAAAAAACAGTTTTCCTTTTATTCAATGTTCCATTGCATAACCTGCTGAATGGCAATCAAATCAATATTGCATTGTTCCATCTGTTCTAACAGCAAATGCAATGCCTTGGCTCTTTAGAGAGACAGAATGTTCCAGCTTCTAATTCTCATATCCAAATTTCGTTTTCCAAATAGTTTCCATGAAGTCCTCTAGGATTTATCTTTTAAGGATTTCGTAGCAAGAAATTTTTACAGGATAGAGGTGTCAACCCTATGCCCAACCCCCAACCTGGAGGACCAGTCCCCTGATATAATCACCAGAGGCAAGGTGCCTGGTTATACACCCAGACACTGGGTACTCATTTTTAGTCGATTTAGTGAGTAATTTATTTTAAATTAAGCATTAAATATTACAATTTAAGTATTCAATATTACAAATTCATTATATTACTGGATACAAATATTCAAGTAGAAAGCCCTGGATAACTTCAAGTAGCGAGACGCCACCATTTTGGTGATTAACTCTCTTCCTTTGTTTATAATGCAGAAATACCAAGAGTTCCCATTTTTAAACGCCACTTTTTATTGATAAATGTTTTCATATTCTTGAAGATAGCTTTAATATTTTCTATTTATTCTTTCAATTCTTTTATTTCCTCTAAAAGTATACATTTTATATTTATTCTATTCAGTGAAAATAATACCTTATCTATAATTTAAAGCTTTCTCATTTTGCTTTTTATAATCTGCTGCAATTTTTTTCCCTAACTCTTTGAAATTTTTTGCAGTCTAGTTTTTTTTATAAGGTTTAAAAGGTGTTAGGATTTGTAATTAAAATCATTCTGGATATTATTAACTGTGTTCAGAGAAAAAGTTTTTTCCCCCCAATAGTTGAAATCTTTTTTCTTCTTACTCAATACCAACTGTACCGTAATTTCGCGCGTATAGTCCGCAGACCCAATTTTATAATAGAAAAATTTCAAAAATCGTCAGATAGTCCGTGGACTATACGTCCGAAATTACGTTCCTTTAATACGGAAATATTAATGTATTTTAGAAACAAAGAACTAAGTATAAATAGAAAAAAAGTACTTACTTACTAATATACCTTCAGAAATAAAATGCTAAATATAAATAAAAAACAGTGCTTACTAATTAATCATATTTTAATCACACATTCTACTACATTAACGAAAGCCTTCAAAGTCCAATTCATCGGTATCAGAATTAAACAGTTCTAATATATTTTCGGAAAGAGTGTCCGAAAGTTCATTTTCAGCATCACTATCTTCACTGTTAGTGATTTCCTCGCTTTCACTAACAATCCCGGCTTTTATAAATCCCGATTGGATGGTTGACACTTTAGCACTTTTCCAGGATTTATCGACCCATTCCGCAACTTCAGTGTATGAAGCGCGTCTCATATTTCCTGCTTTTGTGAAAGTATGTAAACCTTCCGACATCCAGTTCTCCCAGCAAGCGCGTACGTGGGTCTTGAAACTTTTGTTCACGCTAATATCCAGAGGTTGCAGGATTTTTGTTAAACCTCCTGGAATAACGCTAAGTTCAGCACCAATGTTTGTTTTTCTTAGCTTCCGCCTTTACAGTGCCTTTTATGTGTGCCCTCATGGAATCCATAATTAGTACTCATTTGGAATTGAAAAAGGCACCTTCTCTCTTCCAAACTTCTTGAAACCAATTGAGCATAATGTCCTCGTTGCACCAACCCTTTTCATTGCACCGTATTACGACGCTTCGAGGATAATTTTCCTTGGGAATTGTTTTTCTCTTAAAGATCAAGAGCGGCTTCAACTTTGTGCCTTCAGCACAGCAGGCGAGCATCACTGTGAAATGGGTCTTTTCTTGACCAGTTGTTGTTATGGATACTGTTTTCACTCCACAAGTATCGACGGTGCGATTCGGTGGACAATCAAATGTTAATGGAACTTCGTCCATATTTATAATATTTTTTAGGGAATACTTCCCTTCTGCAATAACTTTTCTTGTAAACTGAAGGAAAGAAGCTTTTTTTTCATCTACGTCGTGCGAAACAGCCTGACACATTGTCGTTCTGCTGCGAACTCTCAAGTTCTTACGACGCATGAAGCGGTAAACCCAATTTATTCCTCCCTTGAAATTCATTATCTGCATCTCTTCTGCCATGGCCTTCGCTCGGAGACGGATTTTAACTGTTGAAATGGAGCGTTCTGCATTTCTTTGGTCGAGAACCCATCTTGGTAAATTTTCCTCTAAAGCTGGCCATTTTACTTTTCCGTGCCGATTGGATAGCTTTCTTCCCATTCTTTTTAACACATCCTTTTGTTTGCGCCAATTTCTCACCGCTTTCTCGTCCACTTCAAAATAACGGCCCGCTTCTCTGTTTCCATCTTTTTCCGCTTTCACAACTACCTTGAGTTTAAACTCAGCAGTAAAACTCCGGCGATGTTTCACAGACATAATGTTGGATCAACGTTAATGAAGATGAAAAACAAAATACTGTGCATTAATAAGACAAAAACGCATCAGAATTGAAGATACAACGATTTGAAAAAAATAATAATAAGCTGAGGACGATGGTCGAAATCAGACAGAAATATGAGCAATGAAGAAAAAAAACGATAAAAAGCGCTCTCCCAAGCATTTAAAACAAGTTTCTATTTTTAGCGATTCCTCCCCCTATTTTTGCTTCTCCAATCAGGTTTTTTTTTTTTTAAATAACTCCGCCTAGGACGGTCTTTCTTTTATCCCCTGTCTAAAATTCTCACACACTTAGCTTTTTCCCCTCTTCACTGACCTTCAGTTGAAAGTTTGAAATTCTTCTGGAACATAAGATTATTCAAGGTTATTCCAAGTTCATCAGCACCCTTTATTCATCAAGCATTCACATGTTTTTAACAAGCAGCTGAAGAATAAAGGGGAGTGGAGAGAGGCATTCATGACAAGTGGAAGAGACATATTTCCTGAAAAAAGCGGGGGGGGGAGAGTGCTTGTTTTACAGTTGACGTTATCACTGGCCCCACCCTGATTTCCTTCATTCATTCCTTTCTGATTTATGCTTCTCTACTCCACGCCCATTTCCTACACTCAATAGCTGTTCATATGGCAGAAGGGAAAGAGAGATTTAGTTCTCTTTTGGATAGTGATCTCCAGCAAGTGATTCCAAGAAAGGTCTTGTGCTGTTTATATTTGATTATCGGCAGTTCACGACAGCGTGTTTTTTAAATTTCAACGATTTTAACCGTGAACAACCACCGTATTATCCGCACTTTTGGATAGTCCGCAGCTTCAAAAAGTCGCATTTTAAACACAGATAGTCCGCGGACTATACGCGCGAAATTACGGTAATTTGGCTATAATAAACAATTGCTGAAGCTTTAAGTACAATTAATTAAATCTAAAATTAAATCCTAATTAAAATTTTAAGTGCAAATAGCAAAATCGAAAAATATTGTAGAATTGCTGTTTAATTTTTAAAATACTAAATAAGGTTATATATTTATCTATATGTGTGTGTAAGGAAAATTTGAAAGAAAAGGAATGAAAAGTCCAGCAGAACCCAACTCATTCCTTTTGAAAACACAAAATGAGAGAGAGACAGGTGGAAATAAATAAAACTCTCTTCAACCACAAGAGAAGACCCTAATGCTATTTAACTCCAAAGCTATTAAAAGAAACCCCCTTCCTCTCCCCCCAAAAAAGACCTCTCCAACTAGAATTAGTTCTCATTTTGGTAAGAGAAGAGACAATGGACAAAGTTGTGATTTAGGCTCGATTCTCAAATTTTCTTTAATATCTTTTCATTTTTCTCTGCTAATAATGCATTTCATAACTGAAGAAAATAGTTACGAATTATTTATTTTGGAAGCTGCTTGAAATTTATAAATTTCTACCATTTACTCAAAAATAAGAATTTGCTGAAGAAATTTTAATGAAAAATGTTCTCTTAATGATCTTTTACCTCCATTAATCATTTAAATTGCAACGTAAAGTTAAAAGTAAGCTGGCATAAGATTAGAGTAAACTATGAAATTTCAAATGCTGAAAAATTTTAACTTCAAATTTATTAAAATACAAACAAATTATGAGCACAGAATTCTCCATAGGGAAAGCATAAGCTGCTGTCAAGTGACATCCTCTTAATAAACTATGCACATGAAGAGTTGAAAATGAATATTTAAGTTTATTAGGAGAAAAAGGAGATTAAAATGATCAAAAATCAGTTTATTTGTTAAATAAGTTTAGTTTGAAATACAATTTACTTTAAGCTTCTTTCTTAAATTAACAAGTTTTAAATTTTTTTAAAAAATCTTTTGCTGTTATTATCCTTCGGATTGACAGGTAAGAACTATTAAACTTTTTGTTCCTTAACCTTATTTAAACCTTAAAAATTAATTATTTGTATTAATTTAATAGTATTTAAAAATTATAATTGTAATAAAGTACATAGGTTTTTTTACTATATTTCTTACAAGCAAGATTAAAGCATTCCCACAATGACCTAGTGTCTGCCAGGTGAGTCATGCTGATAAATTTTTGTGGCCAATGACACTGTTGTGGCAACATGTTCAGCATTGTACTTGATTTTACTGCATTGAGGATCTGCTACTCATTGATCGGAAGCTGTGGTGACCGTCAATTTGCTACTAGGGATCAAATCCTTCACAATTGGCAGCTCAGTATGTTTACCAGTAATTATGAAGAATTCTGTATATTAAAGTTGGTGAATTCGGAACACCCCTGGCATGTACTGTATGAAACACTTTAAACTTGGTTTTGACTTGAAAGTGTTTAATTTTTGCATCAAATCATAATTACATTTATTTTATAAGTTGTCATCAAGTATTATACTGATTGAAATGCTTAATTGTGTAAGAAAAAGGAAAAAAAAAATATTTCATTTTTCCACTTGTTTGAACCTATTTTTTATTCTTTTTATATCAAAATCCTAAATCAAAGATAAATGTTTCTTAAGTGTGTGACAAATTGAATAATCAACCCAATAATTAAGCATGCAGACACAAGAAAGAATTATAACATTCCTAGGTGGAGGCTTAAATTAGACAAATAATTTAGATACAGAAAAGCGAGATTATATTCATGGCAACTCTACTAAATGAGCATTTGTGCTGTCTATAGACAAACATATTAAACTTACGCATTTAATATAAATTGTAATTTGTATGTTTATGAACAGGTTTTTGTTGAAAATAAAAATATTTCTATTTTATGTAGGAAGTTCTTTTACAATCAACTTCTTCAGAGCATTTATTTGAATTCTTTATTTCAAAATTATCCTCTTGTGGCATCTGGGTTCTGAGTGATGTTCTGGTTGCATTTTCTTGCCTTTTGTCCAAAATGCCTCTTCTTGAATTGGATCATGTAAGTAAATGAACCATTTAAACTTTTTTTAAGGTTGCCATGGTTTCAAAGCCATCTATCAGACTTTTTTCAGATTTCTGTGACAAAATTCTCTAGCACTTATATCTTTCTGCAAGACACTTTCAACAATAACAAAGATGTGTGTTACTAATTTAAAATAATAAAAATGATGTATACACACAAAAAAATCATATAATTATTTTCATTTAATATTTTTTGTAATATTTTTTTATTCTAATATTATGGGTGATATTCTTGCATTTTGGTGGAGAGAAAAACACACTAATTATTTCCTTAATCGCATTTTGTAAAGCATTATCACATTAAAAATCAATCGGGTGGATGACCACTTTGATCAACTTGCGTAGGGACCAAAAGAGTGCGAAATCGGTGCCTGTCTTCGGATTATCCTCAGGGTTGTTTTCCAGACCGTTGCCAATAGCCCATTGTGCAGCTCTAGTGCAATGTTAGTGAAGTATCTACCTACCCTAATGAGTATATATTCAAGAATACTTCAGAAAGTAATCATTTTTTTGGAATGTTGACTTTTTATGCTTCTTTGTGAAAGAACAATTTCCTATGATTAAAAAATAATAAGAGAAATCTACTTAGAGCTTCTTATTTAATATGATTTAAAGACTCATATGAGACATTCTATATATACACTCTTATAATATATATGTACACACTGAGGTAACAACAGTTATGGGATAGCATGATATGAAGTAAATATCCATCATCCGTTTATTTGTGAAAACAAAATGAAAACAATTAAAATCATATTCAGAATTTTCTCCTCCTGTTTCTACCCTTTTGACAGTTGAGTTTGGTCGGCAGAGAAAGGACCTCTTAATGAAAGAGACTGCTAGCGTGTGTGTAGAATTGTCAGGTTTAATAGACAAGTAACATAATTAACAATAACAGATAATAACAATCAATGTGGGATGTAAAATGGACCATTTGGATTGTGGCACTGTAAAATTTGGCCGTCATCGAATGTGGCAGCAGATGACCAACTCGAGTCCCTTTGCTAACAATGCCTCTTCTTATCTTATTTGTTAGACCCTAGTTGACTGAAAAACTGTAGTTTGGTCTAATGATTTTGTTCTGATTGTAGTTTGGTCTAATGACAATTGAGCCACAGCCAAAAAGTGGCAAAGGCTGAAGCTTTGTGGGCAATGAAAGTTGCAGTATCCAATTATTCATTTGCTTCAAGTCAGGATATTGTGCTGTTATTTCAGGCTATGTTTGAAGCTAACTCTATTGTTAATCAAATGCAGTTTAGTGACCGGAAAGTTTCCTACGTATTGTCTCATGACATTGGGCCATACTTTCAAATACATTCTTCTGTAGACCATAATGACCTGAATGTTTAAAAACTTCCCCTCGTAATCTTGAGGAACATTTCCTCCCACCTCATTCATCACCCCCACTTTCCTCTCAAGTAATGAATAGATAAGGATAGGACACTTTCCCATTGGTTTTTGTAACTATGGGAACGTCTGAACTAGTCATCTGCGCTATGTATCACAACTGAAAACACCCTCCCCCCCAAAAAAAGCAAGCCGTAAAAGAGATTTCATATTTCATAAGGTTTATGACTTTTATATTTTCCATTCCCATTTCGGAAGCTATTTGTGAATTGTGGGGATCCACGATTGACAGAATTGTTTCTAAAAGACCTAATGCTTTCGATGGAGATGAAGAAGTTGTTGGAACAGCAGACCAGCGAATATTTGTGTTTGCAAATGGTGCACCATCAGGGCAATTGTCCCTTCAAAAGATTTTTATGGCAAGCCTTATTTTAATGTTTGGACCTTCATATCATAGGCAATTTTGTACTTCAAAAGTGATTGAAAAAGTAACAAATCAAGAATATTTGCTTTGGTTTAAAACATAATGTAGTATATCAGTGTATGATCCTGCATTTTAATAAATGAAAATATAGTATTTTAACATAAAGTTGACTTTTTTTCGCTGTGAAATGCTTGCAGAATATTTGTATAAATTACTAAGTCCTGTTGCAGAACATTTGAAATTATTCTGCTTATGAGCGAGAAAATCTCCCCACTTGTTTTTCTTTGTAAAATTAACATTCTTGTGATTGTGAATTTTTTTTTTAATAATTTGATTTTATCAATGAAGGTTTTATCTGAAAAAAGGAGGGAGGGGGTACATATTAGTTATTAATTTGCGTTCAAAACATAAATTAAAAACGAAAAAGAAATAAGTTTTAAATATGACTGCTTTGAAACTTAAAATATTTTGTTAGCTGATTGTAAAATAGTCAGCTTTTTAATAAATTTATTGCAATTGAATCTATTTAGTTTTATTTAAATATCAGTATTCTTGTAACTTATTGAATATGTATTTTGTGTATATAAAAAGCAAACAATTTATTTTTCTTTAGATTAATTTAAAATAACTGATATTTTTTAAGGATTTCTGATGTAAATTAGTTTATTTTTCACTTGTATAACTGAAAAATTGGTTAACCGTCTTTAAAATTGTTCGAGGGAAGAAAAATTATAAAATTTTCTGTTGAGAGTACAAATTGGATTTATTATAATATATATATATANCAACTGGGGGGTGGGGGAGGATAAAATTTTTTTAAAAAATCCAGAAAATAAAAGATATAATCTTTTCATCAGCCCACACGATTATATCCACAAGAAAGAGTGCTTTCTGATATTGTATCAATATAGCCAAAGCAAAATATATTAATACAATAGTGTGAGGAGCACTCAAAAATTTTTTTTTTTACAAAAATTACAACAAAAAAATGGAACACAATAAGCAAAAATAACACATAAAAACAGAAAAAAAAACTTAATGAAACAAAATCTATAAAACGAGCAGCGAATTCAAATATACTTACATAAACAGGAAATTTTTCAAGAATGATTTAAAAAATATTTTCGTAACTGGATTGTCAGATTGCAAAATATGAAAACAAAAGCGCAAATTGAGCGTAACTAGAGGAGTTTTGTTTTAAAGTGCTGTTCTTACTGCATTGATTTGTTAATTACCAGGGATGGGCCCGAAATGGATGTGTGCAAGGTAATATTATACTGGATAATTTAAAGAAGTTGACCATAAATAATTTTAGGAAAAAAATATTTATTTAACCCTTTCGAGCCGACTGTCACATATACGCGCCAGCAAGAAACGCGCTCACATCCCGGCCGACACACCCACATGTCAGAGAGTTTTCTCGTTCACCTCCACGGCCATCACACATTTGTGCTAGCGTTTCGGAAAATTTTAAAAAATAGAATTTCTTACAAAAGATGGCATTGTATGTCCATATGGTTTCATATACATGTAGATTTGACTTTCTACTTAAGATGAGAGTACATTCACATGGTTTTTAGGGGAAGGAATGTTTTATGAGGACTCTTTAAATTTGCACGTGGTATTTGTTTACAGTAAGCAGGAGAGTTTTTTTTCGCTACTTTCGATTTTCGGTTTTGTTTTTAGTGGATAGTTAGATGTTGTAGGCTTGAATTTTTTCTCTTTTTACCGTTACAATGTCTAAGCGTCGAAACATTTTAACTGAGATAGAAATCGAGGACATTATGCAAAATATTTCAGATATTGATTCTGAAACAGATTAGGATAGTAGTGATCGTGACTCTATAATATATTCTGATTATTCTGATCATGAAGAATCAAGCAAATCTGATGATGATGAGAACATTTCTGACATTTGTATGCCCAGTACATCGAAATCAAGTAGTACTTCTGCATGGTCATCTACAGCAGTTACCTTTCAAAGCAGTGCCTGGACTAAAAGTGGATGATTCGCTTGAAGAAGAGATTGATTTCTTTAGGCATTATTTTGATGATACCATCATAAAAATAATTACGGAACAGACTAATCTGTGTCAGAGGAGTATATATCCTGAAGGTTCATCTGGTGCACGTTCTTCAAACTATTTACCTGTCACAGAGGAAGAAATGTTTGTTTTCTTCGCTCTAACAATTTTGATGGGTATTATAAAAAAACTCAAAATCAAATTGTACTTTTCAACGAATCCCATGATTGCAACTCCATTTTTTAATAATGTAATGAGTCGTGATCGAAACATTGCAATTCTTCGATGCTTGCATTTTGCCAGCAGCGATGCCAAAAAAATCGGAAAGCTTCAACCAGTTTTAAATAAAATAATTTAAAATTTCAAGTCCGCTTACACCCCTGAAAGGAAAATATCAATAGATGAAAGTTTATTATTGTGGAAAGGAGGACTTGGATTTCGCCAATACGTCCCTGCTAAACAATCCAGATATGGAATTAAACTCTATAAATTATGCGAATCTAAATCAGGATACATATTCAATTTTATTATTTATACGGGGAAGGACACAATGTAAAAGGAAAATTTAGGATTATACGGGGAAAGACTTGTCAAATCTCTACTTGAAGAACTTGCTGGTCAAGGGTACCATTTATATATTGATTGTTTTTTTATGTCTCCCTCATTAGCGGATGAACTTTTCGGGTTACAAGCAAATATTTGTAGGACTGTAATGATGAGAAGGAAAGGAAAGCCAGAAAATTTCCCGTCGCCCAAGATGAAAATCGGTGAGATGTTGGTTTTGTAGAAAAAGAACACGAACTTAACTGCTTTCAAAGACAGACGAAAAGTGCTAGTGATATCTACCATGCATGATGCAAAATTGCTTGATACTGGTAAAAAAGATCGCGCAACATCTAATCCTATAATGAAGCCAGGGTGTATCTGGAATACAACAAAAATATGAGAGGGGTTGACTTAAGCGATGCCATCATAATTCAGTATCCATCTTTCAGAAAACTGTTAAATGGTACAAGAAACTTTTCTTTAATATCATGGATATGGCTGTATTTAATGCCAATATTCTTTTCAACAAAAAAAAGTAAGAAAAATCTCCCTCTCCTTATTTATCGCCTTAATTTAGTTAATCAAATTATTGCTCAGTATTCCTCTAAACTCCCCAAAGTCAATATCATACCAAAATCAGCAGAATCATTAAATTCACTCAGATTACTGAAAGACATTTCCCAAAACTTTGCTTAAAAGAAATGGGTGAGAAAATGAGACGAGGATGCTTCATTTGTGCCTGTCCTGGAAAAATCCTCCAAAATGGAAAATGAGTAATTATGAGTGCAAGGACTGTAACGTAAGACTGTGTATAGATCCCTGTTTTAAAATTTTTCATACGAAAAAAGAACTTTAAGTATTTAGTTTTCATATATTTAGTTTTCAGATATGCAATGTTAAATGTTTTAAAATGATAAGTACATAATAAAAATAAAATGTGTAAAATATATATTTAAACAAGAAATAACTTAAGTGAATAAAGTATCCATACAAATATATATAAAGCATATGTCATTTAAATACTCTGCAGAACAATATTAAACAGCTCGCTGATATTTCGGTAATTTCATGGAATTAAGCTTAACATCAAAAAACCCTCCAGCCCTGGGGAGACACACACGAGAGGGACTGCCGACCTCAGAGGTAAGTGATTTCGCGCTTCCCGTCGCGAAAGGGTTAAGAAACAAATATAAAATAGAAAAGAAAAACATGAATTGCCTATTTTGCACGTAATTTTAGCCACGGATTTGCACATGGAAAAATTATATAAATTAACAAAGAAAAAAATTTTTAGTAGATAATTTTAGCCGCGGATTTGCCTGAAATTGATTTGCACATGGAAAAATTTTATAAATTAATAACGAAATTTTTAGTAAATAATTTTACCCACAGATTTTCTCATGGAAAAATTATATAAATTAACAAAGAAATTTTTAATAAATAATTTTAGCCACGGATTGGCCCAAAATGGATTTGCACATGGAAAAATTATATAAATTAACGAAGGAATCTTTTTAGTAAAGGAATTTTTTAGCAAATAATTTTGGCAACGGATTTACCCAAAATGGATTTGCACATGGGAAAATTATATAAATTAACAAAGAAAATTTGAATACATATATCCAAAAAAATATATGATTAATTCAATCATTTTATTTAGAATTTTATTACTTTACTTGGGTATCCATTGCTTTTTATCAAATTTTGAAAGAGTTTATCGATTTGTTTTTTGGATAAATAAATATTACTGCATATTCTTTTAATTCTATTCATTTCATTAAAAGTGGTATTTAAATAGATACTCCTAGAAACATTAGAATTCCAAGTAATTAGTTTATTTATATTAAAATTAAAATAATTTCTTTTATCGTATAAATCAACAAAGCAGATATTTTCATCTTTTATAATACCCAAATCCAAAAAATTGAAATTAATATTATCATCATGATTACGAAGTAAGATTAATTCCTCGGGGTA